TTGAACTATTCGTATGTATTCTTTTTTTTGCTTGTCACACTTGAAAGATGTTCTTATTTTTGAAGTAGAAAATTTAAGTTGGTTGTTTTTCTTTGAAACTCTTGTAGATGCTAGATCTTTATAATATTTTGTTATGAACAATATTTTTTCGTCTTGATTTCAATATTTTCGCGATAAAAATTTGAAAATTTGATAATAATATGTGAGTTTTTCAAATCTTTTATAATACGTATCTCATACATATTGTTTTAAACATACCTTTAGGCGAAAGACATGAAGAAAAGCAATGCATAGAGATTTTGTTTCCATTAACGGACAAAAATAATTGTGTGTCATAATATGCGCAGTTCTCAATTTTGCGCATATTTTGACAAAATTTTGAATACTTTTGCTCTCAATTTATAGAAAAATGCCAGAAAAAGTGTCATAATATGCGCAAATATGCGACAAAAAATAATCTCGTAATGAAGCCCAAGGTCAAGTTCACCACTATTTCTGGAAGGTCTACACTTCAGCTCGAGACTTCGACTGGAATTCCAATTCAAATACCAGACGGGACAGCCTACGATGGCATAAAGGACGCCAAAAGAGAAGCTCTTGTTAAGTTCCTAAACAAACGTCCTTGGATAAAAATACCAAACAAGGAGAACCCCCTACCTCATATGAAATTGGCAATTCAGTCTCTCCTTCACTTCTCTGGTCAGCCGTTCTACATAACTTGTGAAGGCGACATCCAACCAGTTCGGTAAACATCTCATTTTAACTCACTTTTTTAATGTTTTTTGTGAAAGTGTCAAAAATAAATTGTTTTCATGAGTTTTCTACGATGTTAGAAAAAATGTTATTTTCTAATATCTTCACATTCAATACTTTTTCAGCACTTTTCCGTAGTTATATATGAAAGACAATTCGAGATAAAAGTCATAGTACAATGGAATAATATGTTGCACACCATTTGTTGTGAACCAAACTTGAAAGTCAGAGAAACTGTTACTAGGTGGTTCGTAGAATTTAGAAGCAAAGTCATAAAGGTCCTTACCAATACATAGAAAACTATTGTTGCTTGAACTGAAACTTGCATGACACATAACATTTTGAGGGTCAAACACGTTTCTATAAACCATCAAATCTGCTGGTGGAAGTATAAATTTAAATGGACCATCTGGTGGTAATGGTTCGTTCTGGTTTAGTAACCGAAGAAATTGTGCCCAAGAACGTTTGTCTACTTCCCAAAATAAAAAACTCTGTATCTCTTGGAGGGTTAATTTCAATCTTTTGAAATGAAACGGTGGAGTTCATCTTGTCATATTCTAGTTTCAGATAGTATGTTCCATTTAGTAAAGAGTCGTATTTTTCTTGAAATTCCCAATAATATTTGTTCATTTGAGTTTGAAAGTCATCTAGAGTTTTCTCAAGACTTTCGTCTGAACGAACTGTAAAGATTCTCATTTCGTCAAATTTGTCTATTAGACCATCAGGACCTTTATACTGCCCATGAAAATATACTGCGAACATAAATGCGTTAGTTCTATTTGAAAACAAAACTCTTCTAAATCCTATTGCCTTTGCATCTGAAGGACTTTGAAGCCAACGAATTGGATAGTCAAACCTGTATGCTCGGGATGAAATTTCTTCATCTGAAATAGTCCTACCAGCATTTGTAAAGATATAGTCTAACGGTTTTTTATCTGCTACTTTTGTTCTTTGTTTTTCAACCTGAAGCATTTAATATATGTAAAAATATATTGTTTTAAAATGGTATGCCATATAGCTTCTTGAATTTGTTAAGAAGTATTTGAACGTATTTTCCATCTGTATCTCTAGTGTTTACATAAGCATAGCCCGCCTTAGTAAAATATACTTGTAATTTCCTATAGTTTACGCCGGTATAAAAGTAGAAAGAGTCTTGTTCTTCGCTATAGTAGTAAAACTCAAACGTATGCTTGCCATAGTCTGTAATTTCAATTGTTTCATCTTCTAGTTCGTCGACAAATTCGAATACAATATCTCCAAATTTGCCTTTGTTCTTATTGTTTTCAGAACGAGTGACCCAACGTAAGTTTTCAAGTCTATTGTCGTTTCTTATATGGTTTATATGGTCTACAAAAGGTAAATTGTTAGGATTCAGTAGAAAATGAGTTGCAATGACAGCATGTTTAAGATAGTGTTTTCCACCCATCTTCATAATAGCATATCCGTCATTTCGTTCCCATTCGCTTAAAACTCTTTTTGTCTTTTTGTTTCTGACTTCAAATGACTCACAACAGTGAATTTCATATTTCTCATCTAACAAACAAGTTTCCCAACGGTCTTCTCCAACAAACTCAGCGTACATTTCAAATAAAATAAAAAAATGTCACTTTTTTGAAAAACGTTTTTACTTCATGCAATGTTTTATTTCTGTGCCGTCTTCAAGTATGCCACAATATTTCCTTTTCGATATTACATGAACTTCGGAAAATACCTTATCTAGCTTAAAACAGCCCATCTTTTCACCGACTAAACCCATTTCAATGAGTTTGTTATAGCCTTCTTCGTTCGTCATGAGTGCGTCAATGTTCTCATAGTAAACCTTGACTTTGGATTTGACTTCGGAGAAGAATTTGTTGTACTCGTCAAGGACTGCCTTTGCGAACTGAGGGTAAGACCAATGTTCGACAATAGGTTTTAATGTGGTTACTAAGCTACTTTGACCTTGAGTGTGTAATGCATGAAAAATAGCGTGACTTCATTTTTGACAGTTTACAAATGTAAAGTGTTGCATCCTTAATGTTGTAAACAGAAATTCATCAAAAGTGACACCTCAGAAAAGCTAAAATATTGAATTTTTGGAACTTTTGATAGAGCACGTTTTTAAATATTAATTAAAGTAAATGTATATTTTGTAAAGATTCTTTTTAATAAAAAAATAAAATTTTGAAGAAGAACACAAAATCTTCTGAAAAATAATATCACATAAACTCATATTATTTTCTAATATATAACTATTTTATATAAAAATCAAATTCAATGATCTTAAAAGCGAAGGATAAACCTCAAAATTTACGAATATAATGAGTGGGAATATAATGCTTATCTATCATAAAACCATATGAAATATTAATTTTTGCTTTACGCCTAATTTTTGACGACAATTAGCAAAAAATGTTAAATGTTAACACTCAGTCCACTTGAATATGAAAAATAAAATTGACTTTGATTAAATGTTTTTATTTATCATGCAATTCTTCTTGCGACCAAAGATTTGAATAAAATTTCAAAAAAATAAGATAGCTTAAAAAATAATATACGGTAGTGTTTACTAATAGATGAATAGTATATAAATTCTATTAAAATGGATTTGATCCAAAAAATATAAAACCAAAAATAATTGTTATAATTTAAATGAAGAAGTAATTTAAAACGATTTTATTTATGATCAAATTTTATATATTTTTTTGGATCAAATCCATTTTAATAGAATTTATATACTATTCATCTATTAGTAAACACTACCGTATATTATTTTTTAAGCTATCTTATTTTTTGAAATTTTATTCAAATCTTTGGTCGCAAGAAGAATTGCATGATAAATAAAAACATTTAATCAAAGTCAATTTATTTTTCATATTCAAGTGGACTGAGTGTTAACATTTAACATTTTTTGCTAATTGTCGTCAAAAATTAGGCGTAAAGCAAAAATTGATATTTCATATGGTTTTATGATAGATAAGCATTATATTCCCACTCATTATATTCGTAAATTTTGAGGTTTATCCTTCGCTTTTAAGATCATTGAATTTGATTTTTATATAAAATAGTTATATATTAGAAAATAATATGAGTTTATGTGATATTATTTTTCAGAAGATTTCATTCTATATGCCTATGAAAAGTACTCTCAAAACTAACTTTTTCCTAATTATAATTAAATCTAGAATATTGTATGATGCTTAGTATTATTTCATTTTTCTCATTCAATTTAGAATTTACAAATGTCAAAAAATTGAGAGCTGTCACTTTTGATGAATTTCTGTTTATTACATTAAAAACTTGGAAATATATACATTCATGAATTATCTTGTATATTAATTGAAAATCCATAAAACCCTAACAATATTTTTTCTTAAAAAAAAACTATAAAAATATAAATAAAATTAATCGTTAAATAAAAATATTTGATATTAGAATTTTATTGGAAAAATAAAAAACTTAATATTTTAAAGAAATACTTAAATACTTGAATGTTTTAACTTTTACATTATCATATAGACTCTCAAATTATTAGCCATTTTGGCTGAGAACTATGGTCTGCGAGGTACATAGATAGAATCAGTACCTCGCAGACTATAGTTCTCTATATGGCGCCGAAAATTTTTGGCGAAATGTCGTCGCATTTCACCAAAAATTTTTCGGCGCCATAGGAAGAATTGGAGGTGTGAGATACTATTACATGCTATAGTACTCACACCCTCCAACTCCCAATCAAAATCGCATAAAATTTGCTACTTATCTTCAGATTACCTCCCATTATAAAATATATCATTGCTATCTCATTGTACTATATTTCCACCCTATTGTATTTAAAAATATAAATTTTTTGATAATATATTTTTATATCTTGAATTTTCAAACAATATATTCACAGATAATATAATGGGAAATCTATCTCAACCTAGCCTTAAAGTACCAAACTCCTGCTTGCATTCTCACTCACAAATATTAAACATCCATCTCCAAAAAACTAAATTCTTCACAATTTTTTTAAAATTGAGAACATAAAAAACGTATGCATTCAATAATTTAAGATACTAACAAATATTAAAAACTTCAAAATATCAGATATTAACGTTTTTCAATTAAAAAAAATATCATTTTGCTTTTCAATTCGAACATAAATCTTAAATATTTTTAATTAATATCTGATTTACAGCATTATTATCCATTTATAAATCTGACAAATAAATGACAAAACCATCAGAAAAAGTGTCACTTTGTCAAAAGTGAAGTCACGCTATTTTTCATGCACAACAACTTTGACCTTGAGTGAATTCGTACTTCAAAACAAAAGGAGAAAACCTTTCAACAAAGTTGTCGACCTTCTCATAATGTTTACTCTTCATCTCTTGAGGTTTCTTAATGGAATATCCCCATGTCGAATTCATAAGCAATTTGAGTGTCATTGCAAGTTTGGGGTTTGAAGCTTTCCTAATATCATACAGTTGTTGTATGACTTTTCCAACTGTATAGTTCCTTCCCGGGAACTCACCATCTTCGTTTGGAATTCCAGTCGGAATATATTGGACAAACCTCATGTATGCAGCGTTAAGGTCGACATAGTATATCTTTTCATCTGAGTCGAACTTGTCGCAACCAATTGGTCCAGTTTGTGGAAATTCATGAGTCTCTTATCTTCTGAGAAACTTCTCCTGTTATCTCATAAACATCGTCGAAGCAACCTGTTTCATATAAAACCTTCTGACCTAACTCAGATGCTCTCCAATACAATTTGACGTCAATTGGATGTCTCAATGGAAGTTTGTTTATAGCATCTTGAAGTTCTTGCAACCTCATTGGAAGTTCTTCTGGTTCAGGTTGGTATCCGAACATACCAACCCCTTGTGGAACTGTGTACTTCTTTTGTACTAGAACTTTGTCTGGAACAACTTTTGGTCTTGCTAACAATGAAAAGTTTGTTTCGTCTTTTGGTACAAAAGTTTCTGTCAGCTTGTCATCTGGAATTGGTTCCAACAAACCTTTCTCGAAAAGAATGTTTACAGCTCTGACAATGTTGCACTTACTTTTACCAAAGAATGGGTTTGTAAGACTTTCGTTCAACATGAAGTGGTTGTGGACAATTACAATCTTCAACCATGGTAAGTCTTTGTCAACAACATAGTCGTCATGTGAAGAACCTTTAGCTGTAGGTATGTTGACTCGGATATTGACATTTGCCAACGGTGCAATTTTTGCCAATTGACCTCTGAGAATGTACCTTGTCTTCACACATGACTCAAGATACTTCATCTTCTCATCTGTAACAAGACCAGAGTTCCTGAGACATGTAAGAATACAAGGTTCATTGACAATTGTTTCAATTGAATTGTAAATTCCATACCTTGTCAAGTCAATGTCAGACTTATTTATGAACGGGAAGTATCCAGCATGTTGTCTGACTGCTTGAGGGTTAGGTTGGTACCATTCGAACTTGACACTTGCAATTCCTTCAATTGCATTCAAAATGTCTGAGTCGGAGTCAACCATTTGTTCTCTCTTTGTAGTCTTGAAAGCGTCAAGAAGTTTTGCGGCTGTTTTGTTCATTGCCATGTGCATAGTAAATGTGACCATCCAAATCTGTTATGGTCAATCTGAGATTGTGTCCTTTCTTATTTCCGTCTTGAATTGCAGCAAGTACTCCCATGAAGCCTTCTTTGTTCTTTCCTTCGTCAAAGTTTACTGTAAAGGTTCGACCAGATGTAATTTGACTTCTAACTTCACGATACTTTTCATATGCATATCTTGTTCTTTCCATGGGAGCATGTACGTCTTCACCTTTTCCTTTTTTCCTCTCAAAGGATGCAATTGTTCGTCATGTTTCCAGTAGAATCTGGAAAGCCGTCGTGTCCTTCAACTTGAGGTTCACTGACATCGAAAGGCATGTCCATAAGACGTTCTTCTTCTAACCTCTCTAGTCTGTTTTGGATAATTGGCACGTGCTGTTTCCAAATCCATTTCGTAGCGAAGACCAGAACAATTTGTCATAGACTTTTATGGGTTTCCCTTCCTATATTTAAAATTCTTCGAAACTCTCCAACCATATCTTTGTAACTCTGCTTTTATTCTAGCAGACTTTCTATCCATTCTATATGGGGGTATTTTTATAAAAATAAAAAAATATTTTTTTCTTTACTTTACATAACCGCCTGCTGCCATAAGTCTTTGACGCCAACCCATACCAGCTAATGAAGGTTGACTTGGTTTAGTTTGGAAACTAAACTTTGGTTTTGGTTTATCTTCAGTTTTTGGTTTTTCTTCTTCTATCGGTTTTTCGTCACTTTTCGGTTCCTCTGACTTTACTTCACTTGCAGGAACAGTTGTGTCGTCAACATCTTCATAAATATCATATGCCATTTGTTTTTGTTTTCCTTTCAAACTTTTTATGTTTGTTGTAAAGTTTAGAATATTTCGACTCTAAGTCAATGAGATGTTCTATAATGAACTGTTGGTCAGTGAAGTAAACTTTTCCATCTGTTGTCTCGAAAGCTCCTTCAGACTTCAATATTTTATTTGTGAGAGTCTGTTTCTTTTTTGAGATACTAGCCGTTCCATTTCTATGAAAAGTGACTTTATAGTTAGGGTTTGTATTTCCAGACCTGGCACTTTCTATTATTGAATTTTTCTCTTCATCTGTAAGTTCTTTGACAGGTTTTGACAATGGTTCTGAACTTTTTGTTTTGTGTGTCAAATCTACCGTTTCAACTTTCTTCGGTCATTTCATCTCAGTAAAAAATTTTAGTTTGGTTTGTTTTCAACTGGTTGTTGTTGTGGAGGTGGGATGGTTCCTTTAATAATATCATTCAGTTTCACATGCTGAGCCTGACTATATGGTATCGGTTTAAATGCTGGAAGCCGACAAATCCATCTTGAACTCATTTGTCTCAATGCTGCATTGTTCATTTCATCTCAATAAAAAACTTTACATTCCCCACGTTTGAGGTGGTTGCGGTTGGTTATTGTTTACCCACTGTTGTGCATGGTTATATCCTCTGTTAAAGAATCTTTCACCTTGGTCCATATAGTGTCCTGCTTGGTTATAGTAGTCATTTGCTTTGTTATAATAGTTTCCTGCTTGTCTTCCTACATTGTCCATCCATCTTTGAACTTTTCCTCTTGTTTCAGGATTTGGAATAAGATTTGTTGCATCTCGTGCTACATCCCAACCTTTCTGTACAGTTTGTATAATAGGCTGAGCTTTCTCTTTCAGTATACCTAATGTACTCAAAATCTTCCTTCCAATTCCAAATGCACCTCTGGCTATTGTTCCCACTGCGGGTAAAAATCTGGATGCAACTCCTGCTAATGCGCCAAATAAACCCATTTCTTATAGGGTAAAAAATGACGAATCCGAACAAGGACCCCTATGTTTCTAAAGCGACAAAGAAAGCACTCATGATAAAAATCTTTTAGTTCAACACCAAATGCTTGGTTTTATGGATATCTTGGAAAACATTCCGAGAGTTAGAACAGATGGACCTCCATAACTGGTTAATATTTGTTGGTCAAAACACAAGATACTGTGAAGCCATACCATTATGGTCCAAAAATATTTTAGATGTGAAAACTGCTTTGACAATATTTGTTGACAAATACCATCCAACAAAACTGACATCTGACTGTGAAGTTCTTTCAAATCAGATGATGTAAAAAACTATCTGCGTTCAAAAAATGTAAACCAATATTTCATTGTCGACCAAAACCATTCTGCTCTTGGTGTCATTGACGGATGTATAAAAATGTTAAAGAGACTTAAACCAACCACAAGGTGGTGAAGCAAATGAAATGTCATATGACGACAAATATAGACACTTCTCCATGGCAAAGATTGAGACAAGTTTTAAATATTTACAATAACCGTAAACAAAAAGGTTTGGGAAACCACTCCCCCGAAGAAATGAAAAACAACCCTGACTTAGAGAAAGACTATATATTTAATAATTTAGTCAAACTAGACAAACAAGAAAGAATGCCGGGCTTCAAACTTCAGAAAGGTGACAAAGTAAAAATAGAAATACCTAAACGCGACCCATATGAAAATACTATTGACTATGACAACAATGGGAACCCGACAGGTACTCACATTTGTGTTCGTAAAAATAGAAGAAAGTATACAAGAGAATATTATGAAGTTTTAGGCAAATATGGCAAAATGTACACACTGCAAGCAGAAGATAAAACTACTATTGTCAGACCTCGTTTCAAACTTGTCAAAGTTCAAGGTGGTATACTTTCAAAGACAGTTCCTAACAAATATAAGACAACTCCTGACGAATATGCTAAAGAAGTTGAAAATGACGACTAAGCAATTCTATATCATGCGTAAACTGTCATGTAAGGTGGCATGTATTCTTTACTTTGTCCCGTTGTTTGCGTATATCCTGAAACGAAATGTGTATGGTTTCCTTCTCCCTGAGTGTCATCCCAGTAACAATTTATAGCAAACTTAACGTCGTCTTTAACATCATATCCTTTACCTTTTGTCATTCCTGACCAATCCCAATATCTATGCTTATGCCAACCTGCTTGAGATGTACTTAAATCTATGTAATGACTGTGTGCAGGTAAATTTTCACCTGAAATCGTTTTACTTCCACCTGTTTCCTTTGAAGAGTTTGCACAATACAAAAACCTGTCGACTATTTGTTCCCATGCACCAACACCAAACATTACTTGAGGACCTCTTGCATCCATAGATGTATAAATAGAACCTACTGGGTTCATTAAATCAAACATATGAGATATTATAGGATTGTCTTTTTTGAACTTAAAATATAGTGCAGCTATTTCAGGTTTCTTCTGGTTTGTGTCAGAATATTTTTTATAATATAATCTTATGTTTTCAGGGTAGGTAAAATCTTGACTATAATATTTATTTCTGTCATCTGTATAATAATATACTATTCTCGTTTTTTCTATTGCATTATATCTTTTATATCTATAATAATCTAAATATAATGTTAGCTTTTGTTCATCTACATGTGGTGTTCTGTCGTCATCTCCATAGTCATAATAATGTGGTGCTGGAGCTGGGTCAGGCAATGTCATATCTGCCATTTCATAAACTCTTAAATATTTCTTTTGTTCGTCTCCATATAAGTTTAAGTAGCAGTTGTTGTCTAATGGAACTTTAACTTGTGTACCATCATTCTTTTTATAGCTTACATACATTTCATTGTTATTTTTCGGAATGAGTTTATGCCGTGTACCATTTTTTAAGGACTGTACCAACTGCCATCTAAAATATTTATTTTCTTCATTGACAGAAAAGTCACCAACAATAGTTTCAATATTTTTTGTTCCTATCAAATTTTGGTATATTTCATTGACATATGTTTTATCTGCTTTCTTTTCAAGGCTAACGTTTAAGTCTGTTATTTCAGATATAGAATGTGTATGTCCAACGTCACTTTTCCTGTTTAAGGTTTCTTGTAAGTTTGTAATATTTGCAATGGTATGTGTATGTCCAACGTCACTTTTCCTGTTTAAGGTTTCTTGTAAGTTTGTAATATCAGATATAGAATGTGTATGAGTCTTATCTGCTTTTGTCTCTAATGTTTCCTTAAGACTTGGTATTTGGTTAATATAATGTATATGAGTCTTTTTAGAATATTCGTTTTCAGCTCTTGTCACTTCACTTGACATTTTATTGTCAACATATGTTTTGTCTGCTAGTTCAGGATGAGTATGTTCTTTTGTTGCATAAGCATTGTTAGCTCTTTCTTCTTCTTTTGCTATTGCATCGTCTACATATTCTTTGTCAGCTTTGTTGTCAACATCTGCTTTCAAAAGAAGTTCATTTATAGGTTTCTCGTTTAAAGTTCCTTTTGTTGGATTTATACAGACAGTATGGTTCTTATTGTCTTGAAACAGAAACTCATCTGTCATTGGGTTTAATGTCAGTTTTAAGTCACCCCCTTTCAATGACTCAGATATCTTAGAATAGTTTGAAAAGTTTGTTGTGTTCTTATTTAGAGCTTGCATAATGAGTTGTCGGTTGTGTTGTATTTCTCTCATAGACGCTGTTTCATTTGACATTTTTATTATAGATAAAATATGCTTCCAATAGAAAAAGAAAATTCTAGAGTTGCTACAACTAAACCATTAGATGAACTTTTTACTAATGTCGGTCAAAAGTTTGAGACAGATACCGTAAAGCATGAAGGCTATCGTTTTGACTACCCATTAAGATGGTTAAGAGACCCATCTGTCACAAAAGCTATTGGCTTTCGAAGAATAAAGTTTGTGTCTGTAGAAGATAAAAGTTTTCCATTTATTGTAAGGTTTCATATAGATTATACATCTGAAGGGCAACGAAAAATGTGGAAGAAATTGAGCTAATACAAGTTGACCTCTCATCTTCTCTACAGGCTGCATTAAAAAATATAGAAGATAAAATAAATTCATGTTATGCAAAATATGCTGATGAATATGCGAATACCGATAGCACACTTTATGTGAGAATTGTATATGACAAACAAAATTCACAAGTGTCATTTCAAATCTACGAAGACAATCCAAATAAAGACGAACAAATATATACAGAATTCACTGCAATGTCATGGTATTATTTGCAAAGAATGTTAAATCAGAAAGTTGAACCTCCTTTAGCAAATATCTACAGTCGATATGCAAGAGATGAACCATATTTATTTAAAGATGTTTTCGACCCAGATGCTATTATTGTTCATGCTTCATTTTCTGGCGCCCAAAACTCTTTCTTATGCTTGGCAAATGACTTTTACGAAAAACCTACAAAGTTATACGAACCACCAAGTGGAAGTATTTCAGACTTTCAAGTATGGTTTACTACAGATGGAAGAAAAAGAATAATTCCATTATACCATGCGTTTTACTTAGAACTTAGTTTCATATACAACTACTATCGAAAGTTAGTATCCCTAAGTTGCGTACTGTGGCGCTGCGCGCCTCCGTACACCACTTAGCGGTTTTGACACTTTACGAAACCGGTAACGTATATTTTACAACACAACCATAACACCAACTTAACCTTAAATATTTACAAAACCGTCTGACACATAAACAACTTCACTAACGACTTCACTAAATAAAAATAACCTTATTTTATTTATTTTCCAACTTTTTTATTTAATTACAAAGACATGTCTGACTACATTTACTATGACTCTTTCCCAGAACGTTTCCGTGAACTATTCAAAACTCAAGTAAAACTGAGAAACATGCATTTTAACAAAGACAGACCCATTGACGATGAAAGAAACCCTGAATATATTACAATCCCTTATGACGCAAAGTTCATTGCATACATTCCTTATGGTCGCAGAGGAACGAAAACTATTTCAACAAAGAACAAAAATTATTTCTGGAGCGATGAAGAAAATTGCCTTATCTACATAAATGCATACTTAAATAAAGTTACATATTGTACAAAAGAAGGTTGGACTGGATTTGAGCTCTACATATACGACGACGGTGGAAACAGACGTTGTGTATACCCATACAATAATATGTACCATTGTTTTCATCAAGCATTAAACGAATACATAGTCAGTAAGGGTCTCATTCCTGCTGAGTAGAAATGTTATATTTTTGTTCTGTCATTTATATAAAAATAAACTTAAAAATTAATGATATCACCACCCTCACACGTATGAAAACATAGCACAAAAATAAATTTAGGGTAGAAGGTTAGATCTAACCCGATTTCTAACCTCATTTCTATCCTGTTGAATTCATTGCTTTATAACTCTCTTCCTTGGTTTCTTTTTAGTTGCTTTCTTCACGTCTGTCTCCAACTTGACTGTCTTTCTTCTTCGTCCATAATGATACCAATTACTTCCACCAGTCAATGGGTCAAATGGTCGTTCATAAGGGTTTCCATATATTCCATAAGGTCCGTATGGATAAACCGCTGGTGGAGAAGAAACATTTTCTTTAGTTCCATCGACTCTATTTAAATGCATTGTTTCACCTTTCATCTGGTCATTAAAGTCTTTTGCGTGTTTTGCAAACTCATCGTCCTTTCCTAAAGCATTTTCTGACTCAGTCGCAACCAAATTGGATGCTTATTTATGAGCCCTATTTTATTTAATCTTAACTTCTTTGCAACCCAGCCTCCAATCTTTCCTTTATTTGCATCTAATGTATTCGAAACCCTTCCTCCACTCATTTATTTACTGCGTCATAAGCTCCAAGTGCTTTTGCTCCAAATGCTAATGCTTTTGTTCCCATTGCGCCTAAAGCTGCCCAAGCTACCATTTACACCATATTAAAATCATCTCTCTTCAATATTATCTCATAAAAGTTCTCGTTACTGGAGAAAGTCAATGAAACATAAACATTCTCACGGGCTTCGCCCTCACCGCTTTGCGGTCTATCTAACTTCTTTCTTATATCATCTATACGCTTCAAATGTCTGAACAATTGCTAACATCTTCTACAACAGTTTTTCATCATGAATGACCTTCAAGAACAAATCATAATATGCTATTAAAATCATCTCAATAATGAGTCCATCCTTTCCATCTTTAGGTAGCACAACATCTTTCATTGAAGAAGGTTCGACAAGTCTTATGTTAAACTTACTGACAAAGTTTGTTATACTATAATGCTTCGGCGGCGAATACATGTAGTTTGAAAGACATAATATAGATTCTTCAGCAAATTCACTTATACTGGATTTTATAACAATGTTCTCACGAGACCAAATACCACCAATTGACAATCTTGTAAGCAATCCTGCTGAACCTTCTACTGTAAACGTCGATGGTAACATTCCACGAAGGTCATCTATTGACATCGTTGAGTCACTGTATTTAAATATTTTCTTAAAGCAATCGTCATTATCTAACCATGCAATAGCTTTGAAGTTTTCATTCGAATATACATCTGCTTCATTAAATGTAAAACCTGACTTCTTTGCAGAGACGACTTTAAAATCTATTGAGTTTGTTTCAAAATTATATGCTATGGTAACTTCTGAAGGTAATGGATGCCCTTCCGCAGTCAGTTGTTCTCTCACTACCGTTTGAAGCTTTGTATTAAAAACTTTCATGTCATCTCCTGTATCTAAGTTCACATACACAGCAACAGGGAAACTATCTTGCTTCTTTGTTTCATCATTATACCTCAAAACATTAAAGTTCTTCAATAATATTGTTCTTCCTGCTGGAATACTTCGAACCTGTCTGATTTCAATAGCTTTCTCACCTCCTACATACTCTACCCAGTGTCTTGGATATTCATAAGTATACTGACTTTCTTGAATTTTGGTTGGTTTCATCATAACATGTTCATAGTATATCTTTATACTCTTGTCAGTTAGACTCGGTGCTATGTTCTGAATATTTCTGACTTGCATTTTAATGGAGATAAAATGAAGCATTTAATACATGACGTAGATGAAGACATGAATGAAAGCAGTGAAAAGCTCAACAGTTCTCTCATTCTTCCTTTCAGTAAGGACTATGAGTTCTGTTCAAATGGTGTTTATTTCTATTGTGGAAAGATGGGTTCATGTAAGACATTTAACCTCATTCGTCATATACTCATAACAGAGCGTTTAAGAAACGACTCTTACTATGACCAAATCATTATATCAGCAACTTCAGACTCTATGGATTCAACAGCGAAAACATTTATGTCAAAAGTTCAAGCCTCTGTCGTTAAAGTTCCAGACAGTGAACTCATTGAATTTCTTCAACGTTACATTCGACGTAAGAGAAAATATTATGCCATCGTTGAATTTATACAGTCAGGAATGCAAAAGACTTCTGAGGAGATGGAAAGAATTATTGACAAACACCACTTACGTCAATACTCAGGAGTTTACGATATGAAACGACTTACAAACTACATTCTGTCAAAACTTTCAAAATACCCCTTCAAAAAGTATCCTTCAAACACTCTGCTCGTTTGTGACGACTTCGCCGGAAAAGGTTTAGTGTCAAAACCAGACTCACCATTAGCTAACATCATTACTAAAGTCAGACATTACCACTTAACTGTAGCAATACTTATGCAAACATGGAGGTTTTTAGCTTTAAACATAAAACGTCTCATAACTGACTTCGTTATCTTTCAAGGTTTCTCACGTTATGATATTGAACTCATTTGGAAACAGTCAGGTATAACATTACCTTTTGAAGAAATTTGGGAAGCATATAGGTCTCTCATCTCTCCTCGTTCATACCTTGAGATTCATATCATGACTAATACCATTAAAGTCAAAAATATTCCATGGGAACGACCAACATTGTTTTAAAGTTTAACCTTCAATTGACTGATGGTAAACAAATTCCATGCATCTCTGTCGCCATTTCTGTTAATATTTTTGCTGTCATTCATATCCACTTTCCCATCCGTTAGCTTTTGAGGATATGCGTTAGAATAGCTGTTCTTAAATGAAGGCTTTTCACCTTTGAGAGCATAAACTCTATAACTTTCTGCATACTTTATGTTTGAACCTCCTGAGCCATCATTGACATAAATTTTTATAGGCTTCCACCCTTTGTTCATGTTCCTGCTTCTTCCCTTAGCTCTTTTGTTCAGTAGTTCTACATCTTTATACACAGCTCCTGTCTCAGTGAATTCAACAATATTTTCATTCGTTAGCTTTACATTCAAACCCTTGTCGAGTATATTGTTCATTTCATACATATAAAAGGTTTTTATTCTATATGAAATGAGAAGCAAATCCATCTTAGCTGGTGCCGTTAATGTTCCAATTGAACCAACATCAAATGTTGACTCACGAACGACAAACAATATTGTCATAAAGAACTATAGTTCAGAGTGTTTGAAAGAAAAAGAACCAGATCTTAAGTCGGGACCTTCGGTCTTGGAGCATGGCGCCGTGAATTTAAACTCAGCTTCAAACGCTAACGCTACATCAGATGTTAAGTTAGAGTATCCACCACTGGACCAAATTCTTTCAAGAGAAGCCAACGACAACCCTTACACAAATGTTCAAACAAATCCTTCAGATAACGTAGACCATTACCTTCTTCAGTTATACCAAACAATTTTACTCAAAGACGATAAGAAGCTTTTGGTAAATCTTATAAGCAAGAACAAATAATTCTAACAAAGGAGGATTTAGAAAATGTTATATCACGAATAACAGGGAAACAATGTGTCATTGACTATCTCGACCCTGAAATCGAATGCTGTGGTCAAACTCCACTATTCATGAAAATAGGTAACATCCGCATCATTATCTCATACCGAAATGGCTCACCAAAAAGGTGACATTTTTGGCGCCAATAATTTGATTTTTCTGATTCTTTCTATTTAGATATATTTATTTAACCGAAATATAACTGTACAGAATTACTATTTTCGAGATAAAATTCATATGGAAATACTAATTCATAACGCTTTATGTTATATAAAATTTAATTTATAAAAATTTCAAAATAAATCAAATTTAACACAATGAATATAACTGCAATCGAGATTTTTGACGATTGATTCTTACGTGAAGTTTTCCAAACTTTGAGTTAATGTCAAGACATTAATTCAAAGTTTGGAAGTCTAATAAAGGGAATTGTAGGCTATGAGGTACTGATTATATATCAGTGCCTCATAGCCTACAATTCCCATTAGAAATGGGAGAAACTTTGTCCGCATAACTTATGATGCGGACAAAGTTTCTCCCATTTCTACTTAGAATGAAAGGGCAAGAGGTATATATGTACACTATATATCTCTTGCCCTTTCCTTCTTACCTAAAGACTTCCAATCTTATTTTTTTTCCAATTTTTCCCCTAAATTTAAATCTTATATAATATAAATAAAATGCATAATATCAATCACAAAAATTCATGTTTATTTTTTAATTAAAATTGCCGCGCAATTTAAGGTTTTCTGTCACTTTTTTGTTAGCCATTTCGGTACGAAACATAACATCCGCATCATTGAAACACCAGGAACTACAGGAGTTGAGTTTAAGTATAAATATTCGAATGAATATACAAAACTTTCAACAGAATATAAACTTTGCTTGAAATATGTTTTAGTAAATTAAAGCAGTCAGGACCTTCGGTCTTGGCGCTTTGCGCCGTCAGTCAAAAAATTTCAAGTTAGCAATTTGTAATATCTATCCAAAACTTCTTCAACAGTAGCGAACTCATCTTCATAATGCAAACCTAATCTTATTGACTTGGTGCAGTTTTCACTAACACAATATTTTTCTGTTCTCTTGACTGACATAACTAACTCATTTGTTTCATCAAACAGCAACAACCAAAGTTCATGACCTAATACATAACATTCATACTTTATATTTTTAGCTCTGAGTTCTCTTGTAAGCTGTTGCATTTAATATTTTCTAAAAAGTCAACTTCAACAGTCATTCGCACTGGTGCCTTCAGTTCTACAGGCTCTCCTTGAAAGTCAACAAGTCTGAATTGCATGTCTTTCAAATTATGAGGACTAATGCGAACCCATTTACCTAAATGAGTTGCTATGACAGGAACGTTTGGAATGAACATTGAATTTACTTCATAACAGAAAGACTTATATTCTAGTGAACCTTTACTATTAACTCCTGAAATACCTGTGACATTAGCTATTTTAGACTCAATGTATAAACAATTACCATAACATACGTATGGAACAGATTTCATCTCAATCGTTTTGTCAACACTTTTCAAAGGAAATGTCATATGGTATGCACCCAAAAGAAGTTGTACTCTATGACTCATTCTTGGTATCTTAAACTCTTTCGCATAACTGAACTTCAATGTTCCCTCAGAAGAGAGTTCGACATCTATGTTGTCAATAGTTTCTTCATTTATGAGAGTATCTATGACTCCAGCAATTTTATCTATTCTATACCCAGCTCTGTTAGGAAATGTTATAACACTTCTTTTGTCATCTATTTCAATCTCTATGAAATCTGTTTCATCTGTTATGACAAAAGTTGCGATAGTATTGAAGTCAACAACTCTGAAAGCAAGCGCTTCATTCTGAAGACCTAAGTTTGTTTGTAGTTTTACTGTCCCGTATTCATTCGGGTCTGTACTTTGCAAATAGAACAACATTTTATTCTCATTAAAATATGACTATTGCTGCATATGCGTATGAAACAAATGAAGCAAGAAGAGCACATGAACTAGTAAACGAAAACTCAACTTTAACCATTGAAGGCAATGATTTAGTCATTGACGATGGAAAAACTAAAAAAGTCATTGATTTCGATACTTTTAACACGTATGACCCATTCATTACAACAAGTAAAGTTCCTATCATAAATGATGGAACGGTGCAATATATAAATTCTACAGTAGATGCCTCATTAGTGAAAGTATTAAATGTTCTCATTGAATTGTTAAAGAGCTTTCGATTTGACGACAACATTAAATGCCTAAAGAATTTAGTCATGAATGAGAAACAAATTCTCGGCGTTGCTGGTAGCAGTAATGATGTACACCTTATGACATTAGAATATTATAACGAACATAAAGATGAACTGAAAGGAGAGAAGGGTGACACTGGAGCTCAAGGACCACAAGGACCACAAGGAATACAAGGAATACAAGGACCTCAAGGTGAAAACGGTTTGGATGGTGAAGATGGAAAGGATGGAAAAACTGCTAAATCATGGATATGGAACCTTATAAATACTGGTTTAACAGCTGCTTCATATGGAGTTCTTCAATACCAAATCGGAAAGATATGGACAGTACTTGGTGAAGAAGTTTTAGATGACGTTAAAAATGCTTTGAACTTCATTTCAAATGGTTCGGATACTATTAAAACTTTATCTGGTTGGATGCAAGAAACAAGGAGTCAAATAGATACTGTAAGACGTATAGCAAACAATGCACGTACGGGATTGGATACTTTACGAGAGGCACAAAATACACTAAAGGAAGCAAATGATATTCTTGGCTCAGTATCAGACATGCATGAAGATTGGCTTAAAGGTATTGACAAATCTTTAAAAAATCACAGTCAGTCTATTGCTGACTACAAGAAAAGTATAGATTTTTTACATAGTGCTATGGACGTACATGATGGAAGCATAAGGAACTTACTTAATGCTAACAATAACTTACCAGGAACTATTAAAGCATTTATAAAGTCCTTTGTAAAACCTGGTGCTCTAACATTTAGGTCTTTGAGAGCAAGAGCATTGAAGTCAAGAGATGCAGAAACTCCAACAGAACCTACAGAAGGAACTGAAACAACAGAAACTCCAGAAGAACCACCAAAACCAACAGCTAATGAAATATTGTTCGAATATTTTCCAAGGTACTCTGTTCTCATTGCATACATTCAAGAAATACTTAAGAAAGCAGACTTGACTTTAGGAGATGATGAAAGTTCTGTATATCTTTCGTTCCAGTTTCAAATAGCAGAACTTTTGAGACAGATATGCTTAATGTATGACAACATCTCTGATTTCACAAGATATGATGACGACCATGACCCCGAACACGGTGAAGAAGAAGTTTTACAAACATCCATTAAGACAGGAAAGGTTTTAACTCAAAGTCTCATTATTGACACCAATGATGGCGAAGTGGACGTTCTTCAAGAGCTGAAGAAAAATACTTCTTCGGGAGGTGGTGGTAGCATGAACTTGAAATAAATGAGATAGAGAGAAATTAGCCGAAAAAGCAGATAAAAACCATGTTCATTATATAAGTTCAGACGAACAGATTATAACGGACTACCATGGATATTTAACACAGATGAACAAATAAGCACTGAAGATGTTAATGAAAGAAGATATAAATTCATTCGTGCTAAAGGTTATGACATACACTGTACTGTACAGTATGACACAGGTAAAGCACCAGAAGCATTTGGTTATAACGATGAAATATATGCTTCATACTTCTCTGTTAACGGTGTATTAGTTGAACCAAGATTTACTTTGAGAGTTAAGGTAAAATAACTTTTGAAGATGCTATTAAAAGTAAAGCTGACAAAG